CCAGCCGGCCGCGTCTGGACGGCGCTCTGTGGCCGCCTTGTCTTGGCAGTGGGGGTTTCCCTCCCCCCTCTTTCCATCTTCGAATTCGTCGCCTTTCTTCCCCTCCTCCTCTGAGGAAAAGGAGGGCAGGACGGGGCTCTCCGGCAAGCGGGCTGTCTCCTTGCCTTAGGGCCGGGGAACGGGGCGCCGCCCGTCGCCCTACTCAGGGAAGGGGACCTCCCGGCAGGTGGAGGGGCGTCTCTCCGGGTCCCTCCCGTTTGGTTTCCGGAACTAGCCGCACCGCCAGCCTCTCCCTCTCCACCTCTGCTGGAGGGGTCACCCCTCATCTGGCCGCCAGGCGCGTCGGGGGTGACCCCTGGAAGGCGATCCGGAGGGTGCCGTGCGGCCCGCCCTAGAGCCCCCGCCGTGCCCAGGCAGGGACACGCCTGCGGGCCGAGAGACTTCAGTGGCACGCCCACCCAACCCCCTTTTTCTGTCTGTCCTCCGCCACCCCTGCTCCGAGATCTCCCTCTTCCCGACAGCGATGACAGACGGGGACCGTCAGCGTGGCGTCTGGTCGGGCTCCCTGTGGCTGACTCTCCCGCGGGCCCCCTCGGACTCCTGAGCGCCCCCCCCCCCAGCAGACTCTGGCTCCGGGAAACAGCCTCAAACCCGTCCTGTCCTGCTTCCAGGATGGATCTCCTGCAGAAGAGCAAATACAACCACCTGCGCAACGACTCCCTCTCTTCCCTGGAAGAGGCCTCAGTGCTGGCGGCGGCGGAGGGGGACTCCCCGTCCTCTGAGCCCCTGGCGGCCGCCCCGTCCCTGCCCAGCTCCCTCTCCTCCTCCTCCCTCAGCCCCATGCTCCCCCTGGGCGAGCTCTCCTCCGAGTCTGAGGACAGCCCCACCACCCTCTGCTCCTTCTTCCCCAAAATGGCCAGCCTGAAACTCTCCAACCCCTCCGCCTTCCTCGGCCTCCGGCCCTTCTCCAAAGAGGCGGCCGGCGGTGGCGGCACCAACGGGGCCGGGGAGCCTCCCGCTGCCGCCGCCATCCCCCCCAGCCCGGACTCAGCGGGGGCCGTTCCCGTCTATTCCCAGGATATGAACAAGCTGGGCTGCGGCAAGAAGATGCGGGTGGAAGGCGGACAGCTGGGCGGCGACGAGTGGACCCGGCACGGCAGCTTCGTCAACAAGCCCACCCGGGGGTGGCTGCACCCCGATGACAAGGTGATGGGCCCCGGAGTCTCCTACCTCGTCCGGGTGAGTGAGCCGGCTGGCGGAGGGGAGAGCTGGGGGAGAGAGAGAGGGGAGACCCGTGTCAGGCTTGCAACAGGTGGTCCTTACTGGCCGGCCGCCGGGAGGGCCCGTTTTGGAGGAAAGAGGGCGGGTGGGCCAAGGTTTACGAGACCGATTCATGGAGGAGAGGTCTACAGGGGCCGCTAGTCACTGTGACCGGGGTTCCCTCTAAGCTGAGTTAGCGTGAGCGAGCTCACAGCTTTTTAGCCTCCGGCTCACGCATTTTTTGTCTTGGCTCAGGAAGGATGGCACCGGAGCAAACTAATTTACGCAGCAGCCAAGTCGCTCGCTCACAACTTGAATGCCAGCAGCTCACAAAGTGGAATTATTGCTCACAAGACTCCACAGCTCAGAGGGAGCGTTGACGGTGATTGAGGGGAACCGACACATCCGGCGGCACTAAGCCTATGAATCCCAGAGCCGGGAGGCAACATCAGGGGAAGGCCTCGGCCTCTGTCTGCCCTGTGGTTGGCCCTCCAGAGGAACTGGTTGAGGCCACTGTGTGAGGCAGGATGCTGGACTAGATGGACCCTCACTGGTCTCCTCCAGCAGGGCTCTTCTGATGTTCTTATGAGGGGAAGGCCTCGGCCTCTCTGCCCTGTTGCTGGCCCTCCAGAGGAACTGGTTGAGGCCACTGTGTGAGACAGGAATGCTGGATTGGAGGGACCCTCACTGGTCTGATCCAGCAGGGCTCTTCTGACGTTCTTATGAGCGGAAGGCCTCAGCCTCTCTGCCCTGTTGTTGGCCCTCCAGAGGAACTGGCTGAGGCCACTGTGGGAGACAGGATGCTGGACTAGGTGGACCCTCACTGGTCTGACCCAGCAGGGCTCTTCTGATGTTCTTGTGAGGGGAAGGCCTCGGCCTCTCTGCCCTGTTGTTGGCCCTCCAGAGGAACTGGTTGAGGCCACTGTGTGAGGCAGGATGCTGGACTGGAGGAACCCTCACTGGTCTCATCCAGCAGGGCTCTTCTGATGTTCTTAAAGTTTCTCCATTTTTGTGATCTCCCTAAAAGTATTGGTCTCTCAGCTCCTTCTCCATACATGACTCTAGGGCACCAAGTGGAGCAATGCTGGGGAAGCTAGAATTGACACCTAGGGTTTCCACGTCATGATCCTGAAAGCGTAGGAGGGGAAGTAGCTCTCCAGATTGAGGCAGCTTGGTAGCCCAGCCCGGAGCAGCTTCCTTTCCCCCACCTGAATTGGGAGAGAGTCCCTTAGAGGCAGCCCTTGGTGTTCAGAGACAGATTTCCCTGCAATGTACAGGGCTGGATTTCACTGCTTCACTCAAGAGCTGGAGTGACACATGGAAAAAAGTGTCAGGCTAAGATCCCGGGAGACCCGTGTTCGAATCCCCATTTCCACCACAGAAGCTCCCTGTGTGTTCTCGGGCCCATCACAAACTCTCAGCCTGACCCACCTTGCAGGGCTGTTGTGGGGGACTGGAGGAGGGGAGAACTATGCTGTAAGCAATGCTCCCTCTAAGTTGTGGAGTCTTGTGAGCCAAAATTCTATTTTGTGAGCCACTGGCATTAAAGCTGTGAGCGAGCGATTTGGCTCCTGCTCAGATTAGTCTGCTCTGGAGCCATCCTCCCTGAGCTAGGACAAAAATGTCTGAGCTGGAGGCTAAAAACCTGTGAGCTAGGTCACACTAACTCATCTTAGAGGGAACACTGGTTGTAAGGGGCTGTGGCTCAGTGGTAGAGTATCAGTGTGGTATGCAGAAGGCCCGAGGTTCGATCCCCGGCGTCTCCAGTTAAAAGATCTGGCAGTGGGTGATGGGAAAGTCCTCCTCCGCCTGAGACCCTGGAGAGCGGCTGCCAGCCTGAGCAGACAATACTGACCTTGATGGACCAAAGGCCTGATTCAGCATACCAGACTAAAGTGGAGAGTCCCGTCCAAAGCTAGCTAAACATGTTACGGTTTACAATAATTATTGACTTAGCTTGCGATTGTAATTAAGATGCACCTTCATGTTGATGTATCTTTGTTAATGGCGATAGTATAGCTCAACTTGTTTTGAAAAAATTAAAAAAATAAATTATTAAAAAAAACATGTAGTGAACAGACTGGCATCAAAGACGCTAGATATAGTCAGCCATCATCTCAGTATATTATTGATCTCAACGTGTAAATTTCCCCAGCCTTTCAGTTGATTTGTAGAACGCCCGACTTAACGTGCATATTGAAGATGAATGACTGATTAACACCACTTGAAGATGTTTGTGTGACACGCAGAAATCGCGGCTAGGAAAGTAATAGGACTGTTTGAAACCCTTATTGAAGGTTTGTTCCGATGAAGAGACGAAACGGAACTCAATCCGGAGGTTCTCGTCAGCAGCAATCACTTTATAACGATCAAAATAACTTCATGTATCTTTATAAGCACAATTACTTCATGAATGTTAATTAATTGGATTTACCGTTACAATAATGTCATTTACAGTTTACACTTCGAGGTCAATAATATACTGACATGATGGTTGAATATATCTAGGGTCTTTGATGCCAGTCTGTTCATTACATGTTTAGCTGATTCCGCATAAGGCAGCGTCATGTGTGTTCAAACCACTTTCAGTCCCAGCTGGGAAGAAAAGTGGGATATAAATCAGTGGAAATGCTCGGCATCCCCTCTCGCCGTCCTGCCCAGTGCATGATTTAGGCATCGGAAAACCCGGTTCCACCAGTGTTTGACTGGGGGGGGGGTGTCTCCTTTTGTTGGAGCCCCCAACACTGAGCACCCCATGAAGCCGACGCTCCTCCTCCAGCCTCTCGAAGGACTGGCTGCAGCCGGGATCCTTCCTTCCGCAGCTTTCCCCTTTTTGGCATCTCCCTCCCGGAATATGGGATTTTCCTGCCCTCCTCAGACCTCTGAATCAAACACCCGGGGTTTGGTTTTAAGCCACCCCTGAGCTCCAGGACAGGTGTATACTTCTGGAGTTCAGTCCCTGGAATTCAGGGTGTTGTACTACTGTAACAGCGTCTCTGAGAACGCGGAGTATGTCTTTCCCTTGCCGCTCACCAACCACAGCCTGGTCTAGGGGAAGGCATTTCCACATGATTTCCTCTGAAGCTGCCTTAAACTGAGTCAGACCCTTGGTCGGTCAAGTTCAGTATTGTCTACCCTGACTGGCAGCAGCTCTCCAGGGTCTCAGGCGGAGGTCTTTCCCATCACCTACTGCCTGGTCCTTTAAACTGGAGATGCCGGGGATCGAACCTGCGACCTTCTGCATGCCAAGCAGGGGCTCTTCCACAGAGCTGCAGCCCCTACTCAGTCTGACTGTGGCTCTCCAGGTTCTCAGGCGGAGGTCTTTCCCATCACCTACTGCCTGGTCCTTTTGACTGGAGATGCTGGGGATTGAACCTGGGACCTTCTGCATGCCAAGCAGATATTCTACCACTGAGCCACGCCCCCTCCCCAACTTTGGTCCATCAAGCTCAGTGTCGTCTACTCAGAATGGCAGCGGCTCTCCCGGGTCCCAGGCGGAGGTCTTTCCCATCACCTACTGCCTGGTCCTTTTGACTGGAGATGCTGGGGATTGAACCTGGGACCTTCTGCATGCAAAGCACCGACTCTTCCACTGAGCCACAGCCCCTTCTCCGACTGGCATTGGCTCTCCACGGTCCCAGGTGGAGATATTTCACATCACCTACTGCCTGGTCCTTTTAGCTGGAGATGCCGGGGATTGAACCGGGGACCTTAAGAACATAAGAGAAGCCAATGTCTGATCAGGCCAATGGCCCATCTAGGCCAACACTTTGTCATACAGCAGCCAAAAATACCAGGTGCCATCAGGAGACTCAGCAGTGGGGCCAGGACACTAGAATCCCTCCCACTGTTGCCCCCCCCCCCCCCGGCCCCCAGAAGAAAGAGAGCATCCCTTTCCCCAGACTGAGAGTCCCTATCTAGACCTTGTGGCTAATAGCCACTGATGGACCTCTGCTCCAGATGTTTATCCAATTCCCTCTTGGAGCTTCTAAATGCTGAGCGGATGCTGTGCCCCAGAGCCACGGCTCCACCCCCAAAATACATGTAGACCAAATCAAACTTATCAGTCCTTCAGGGCCACCGTTGTCTACTCTGACCGGCAGTGGCTGTTCAGGGTCTTTCACATCCCCTTGATCCTTTTAGCAGGAGATGCCGGGGATTGAACCCTGGGCCTTTTGCACACAAAACCTGTTGTGGCTCTCCAGGGTCTCAGGCCTTTCACACTACCTGCCGCCTGGTCCTTTTAACTGGAGATGTCGGGGACTGATCATTCATGCAGTGCTCCCCCTAAGCTGTGGAGTCTCGTGAGCAAACATTCTACTTGGTGAGCTACCGGCATTAAAGTCGTGAGCGAACGATTTGGCTCCTGCATGAATTAGATGGCTCTGGAGCCATCTTTCCCGAGCGAAGACCCAAATGTGTGAGCCGGAGGCTGAAAAACTGTGAGCTGGCTCACACTAACTCAGCTTAGAGGGAACCCTGGATTCGTGTGCTGCTTTTCATCCCAGATGGTCCCCCCAAAAAGCAGGTTTTGGACAGGCAGCACCGCAGATGTGCCCGAATTCAGGTGACAAGAATGGTCTGAGGTCTCTTAACAGCTCCAGGCCCAAACGATGCTCCCTTCCCAGTCATTGTCGGGCCCAGCGGGGGGGGAGGGCGCCCAGCATCCACACAAACGCGTGGCCAAAGCAGCCAGTGTCTGTCCCCGGTCTTCCGTTCAGCCACATGATTGCTTCTGACAGGCGTCCATCCCTCGGGGCACGGCACAATTGCAACTAGGGCCCCACCACCACAAAAACTATGATTACCGAGGCCCAAGAGCCCAATCGCCTATGGAGCTGGGAGACGATCAAGGAGGGCGCCCCCCCCCCCCCCCCCCCCCTGCCGAGCGAAGCGCATGAGCCGTGGCCCCATTCTTGCTTCAGACATGCTGGAGGTCTTTAGTTTTGGGGGGTGGGGGGTTGTTGCTCAGACCGTGC